CGTAATCTAATAACCCAATCAGCAAACAAATAACTCAACACCGGATACTTATTGAAAGCATATAAAATTCTTTGAGATTATAATCAACTTCAACCAATGAACTTTAAGTTATTTAATCGATCCTTAACTTTGCAATACATTACACACTAAGAAACTATGAAAAAATCTCTATAAGCTATGAAATGACTGTCCAAAATATTAAAAACTATAACTAGATAATCATCAAACCTTATAATAATTAGGAGAGAAAGTAACTGAAATTACTACAATAAATCTTAATGGTAAATATTATATTTTATACAGTTGAAATCATGAGTCCATTGAAACTAGACCACCATGGAAAACCTGGAAACACTGGATGGCCGTTTCGTCCTGTTGTAAGACTCCTCAGCAGTGCGCATTCATGATCCCGCCTCACGAGATTCGAACCCAGGACCTATCAATCTCGCACCAGATCATTTTACCGATAGACCACTGAGCCGGCGTCCAACGGTGTTAATGTCTAACTCCAACCAATCCACGAAACGGCCGTCCAGCGCTTCCAGGTTTTCCATGGTGGTCTGGCTTCAACTGACTCATGATCTGAACTATATAAAATTACTAAAATCTCCATAAAACCCCCTTCTGAAAATATTATATTTATTATATTGACATAGAAATATTATTAGACTAGTTCAGTTTACATTTAAGCTCATATTTAAGTAAAACAACAGTCTAAATGTGTTTTCTATAGTTTACTTGAAAATCTATGATCATTATATGATTAAAATTGAATAGATCCAATTTCAAAATATTGATCTTCCAATTTTTTTTTCTATAAAGTTCTCTATCATTCTACAAACTTCCTGGATATTGTTTTCATTTTATTTTTAACTGAAATTTATAACACAATACAAAGATGTTGATGGAATCTATTGCTTAATAAGTTTACTTTACTTTTTTACTTTATCTTAATAAATTCATTCATGTCTAATGTTCAACTAATATGTGTAGTTCTCATTCTTTATTTCATTCTTTACCTTTTTATTCTGTCTAAATTTTTTTTATCAACCCTATTGGGGAACAATACACAGTTAACTTTTCGTGTAATTTATTTGTTTGTTTACATAACTATGTATGTATTCATGTATGTTTGTATTAATCAGCTATAATCCAACTAGTCTACTACAATGAGAATGAAATTTTTTAAAAAAAACACAAAGAAAAACTATCTTTTAGATATAGATCACAATGAAGAAAAAGTGAATTTAAATTTTAAAACGTACCCAGAAAGAATCAAGTATGAACCATGGAGACTGTTTTAGTAGTATTACATATATGTATCTAATTTATCATGATAAAGTAAATTATACCATGATATATCAGACAAAAACTCGGACAAACAAAATTTATGAAAAACTAACTGATAATTAAAGAGTAAAAAAATGTGTGTACAGACTAATAAAAGAAAAAATAACCAGTAATTACATAGAAACGGAACATATATTTCATTATATGTTTTTATACTAAGCAATAGCGTTATAATAAGCGTCCACCTCACTTATACTCACAGATGAGACTATTTTTACTTTCAGAGGTTCTGTATCAGTATACACCGATTCATATATACATTCAAATGTAGGTTTAAAGCCTTTCTCTAATCACATATATTCCTAACTTCTTCATAAAAAACAGTCTTAATTTATAAAAACTAGGATTGTATTTTATGAACCTCACATACTAGCTTCATAATTTCTTACGACTTACATCATGTATAATTGTTTACATTAGAAATAATTTTCCAAGTTGATAATTAACCATTAAATATTAGATTTCGTTATATCTTGAAAACGTTAATTGTTATAACTTGTGTGCCTGCCTGGATGCCCCGTTTAATATATCACATGACGATATCACCAATTAGGGAGCAGTGATTTATCGATCGGACCAATGACACACAAAACCCCGTAAGAGCTACCTAGAGCACTTGCCAGTCCTGCTATCTGCCTAGCCCAGCCAGTTAAGTCCAGAACATCAATAACAGCCTCTGCAATATGAGTCATTATTCTCAAACATACTGTGTTTATATATCAAACAAACTGACCACATCGTACCATAAAATAGAAATTAACATTTGTACAATATTTGACCAATTGTGGCTGTGAATAAAGGAGACAGTAATTAATAGACTGGGTATAACTCTGGAATGGTAAATCGTATAATAATAATTCATAGGTCAAAATAAAACTTATAATAAGAGGGACAAGAATATGTATAGTTAATTTACTTAGCGATTATACAATAGGAAATATATATATCATATTGGCACATAAATAGTCCTCAAAGTAACCATTTATAATTTTCTTCATAATATAACAGTTTTATAGTTTTTAAATGACTACTCTTATGAATCTTATATTAAAAATCTATCTTAATTTATTGACAAATAAAAATACAGATTAATATGATTCAATAAACTATTAATGATAATTACTGATCTTAACCCATAATACAGTTCAATAATGTACTTGACAATTGAAATAATTTTCATAGGCATGAAGAAAATTCTGTTTATTATCAGTATCATTATTAAATTTCCATTTCAAATTTTATATAACTTCATATATATATGTATATATATATAATGATTATTTCTAAATTATGTAAATATATATGAAATGACTTGCTTACTTACGCCTGTTACTCCCAATAGAGCATAAGCCGCCCACCAGCATTCTTCAACCCACTCTGTCCTGCCACTTCCTTTCTATTTCTATCCAGTTTTTGTTCCTTTTTCCCATGTCGGTCTCCACTTCTCGGCGTAATGTGTTCTTTGGAGTTCCTCTTTTTCTTTGGCATTCAGGGTTCCAGGTGAGGGCTCGCCTTGTAACGCAGTTGGGTGATTTTCTCAATGTGTGCCCTATCCACTTCCAACACTTCTTCCTGATTTCTTCCTTCACTGAAATCTGGTTTGTTCTCTCCCACAGTAGGTTGTTGTTGATGCTGTCTGGTTAACGCATCCGAAGTATTTTGCGTAGACAACTGTTAATAAACACTTGTATCTTTTGGATGAAATATGCTAAATAAATATCATATTCATCATTCTAATTAAACTTTGATTAGTTAATGAAATATTACAATTTGTCTCCAAGGTAAAATAAATCACAAATGTGACACTATTCATTTAAAAATTAGACCGTTTATAGGTATCCCATTTTTTTATAAAATAAACAAAAAACAAAACATTCGTATCATAAATATAAACAAATATGCAACAAAAGTCTACTATAGATCATATAATTTAAACCATTATATAAGAACTTTCGTCTAAATTAGAGCGAATAGTTGCACAGTATTTGAGCGCCGAGCTGATGTAAGACATTAAATAGGATTAATATATTTGTAAAATATCAGATAATTCCTTGAAAAAGCCTGGACCAGATTGCCAGGCGAAACGTTGGATTTACTACTAATTCAACCATTATATTTCTAAAATAAAGTGCTACAATACAGTTCATATATATTTGATGATTTGTAAATGATTTACAAACTGTATCATCTCTAATGTATGTATTATAATATACCTTATACTTTAAAAATTGGCACTTAGATTAGTGATTAATAAAATCATTATGTTTCTTCTTTATACAATATACAACTATTTGTTAAACATGTTCTTTTCAATGTCTTTCATATTTGATATTATTTATCTTGATCATGATCAACAAAATGAACTGCTTGTTTATTGAGCATAAACATGATCTATATTTCATTATAACTAAGTGACTAAATTGTTCGATGGAGAATGCTGGTGGGCGGCCTATGCTCTTCCACGAGGACTTTTAAGATTTTTGTAAAAATAACTTGAAAACATAAATGAACAAACACTATGATAGTATGGTGTTCATTTAGACGAAACTCACTTAAAAAACTAAAACAAAAATACCTTCAGTAATATCTTTAAGTATTAAGTTACTATAACTCATGGTTTTGGTTATGCAATCAACCAGAAACTGTTTTTGTTAATTACATTGGCTACTGAATATTTGTGTGTATTTCTCCGAGTTTTCGTATGAATAAATTTAGATTTCTAGTTACTCCTAATACGTATTTATGAAGTTCTTAATGTCTAACAGGCTCTATTTATGATCTAATTACTTTTTTTCACAAAAGCAATGACTTAAATGTAACCCGAAAATTCCCCATTCAGGCTTATATAGAAAGGAAAGTCGAAATAGAAATTGTTTTGCTTTAATTGATTCCTTATTACGATTTTGCACTTTAATAATTGTGGGCTTGTCCACAATTTTCTTATATTTAGGATTATTTACAATTACTAATCAAAATTGTGTCCTAAGATTAAAGAAAACTAATTAGTTGTTATGTTTATTAATTGAAACAAACAGTATATACAATAACAATTTGTTGGAAACTTTTACTGAAAGGTATAGTACTGGAAGAGGTTACCTAGGCACATTAACGAGAGAATATATTCAATTTTAAACAATATTCATCCGCAAAAATACTGTTGTCTGCTAAATAAATCATAAAACTACATATCGACAGTCTAATTAGTGGATGTTTTCCTGAACGAAATGAGGCAAATTAAAAAGGTGGAACCCAGTGGAATAAGCCGTATTCAGTACACTCATTTGTATACTATGCAGTAAATCATTGAAGAGTTTAAAAGCTTTTTTTAACTTAGAAAATGATATAATAGTTACTGCATAGTATGTTTGTAGGAAATTTTTCTGGTTAGCGTTTTTTTTGCGAGTTGATTTTCTACGGGATGGGGTCGCTAACCTCATGCCCAACCCTCCTCCTTTACCCGGGCTTGGGACCGGCTGTAACCTCCAGAGGAGCTACAGGCGGAGTTTTGTAGGAAATAGATCCGATTTATAATATTTAACTGTATACTTTGAATGTGAAGAACACTGCGATTTTTTCAAAATAAATTAATGTAACCATATTTAACTGAAAGATAACATATATTTTTTTTAATATGTGAATTATAATTAAAGGTACTGAGGTATGGAACGAGGAGCTGCTTTTAAAAGAAAACTTTATACATGGACCAACTAACCTCTGTCAAAATGGTAGGCATCAATCACCGATTAATATTATGACCAAAAATCTTGTTTATGATCATTCACTATCCGCAATGGAGATAGAAGGATTAGAAAAGCAAGTAAATTAGTTGAAATAATAACTTTTTATAATTCAGTAACCTTACTTTATTAATATTTCTGATAAATTGTTTAGTCAGATTACTACTTAAACTTGACTCCTTCTAGGTTGTCAATAATTAGATAAATGGACCTCATTTTTCAATATGATAACACAAGCCAACTTAAAGTTGACGAAGGAAGATAACGAACTGAGAAAAAACTGACTTTCACTGGATATTATTTTACGTGATCTATTTTATTTTATCTACTGGTTAGCGTTCTTTTAGCGAGTTAGTTTTCTACGGCGGCCTATGCTCTATTGGGAGTAACAGGCGTAAGTAAGTAATTAGATAATTTTATCTATTATTTGCCATCATACTTAGAAGTGATTTCATATGAAAATTTCCTGACACATGGGTATACCATTGGTTTTTAATACGCGGTTCAATTTTACTTTAGAAATGAGCTGAAAACTAAACTTCTAAAGGACTAATAAATGAAAAAATTGTTGAATGCTTCCCTTGATTAGTCAATAAAACGATTATCTCTACAATTAATGAGTGAATTCTTGTTATCCATTAAAATGAGAACGGAATTTAGTGACTGGTTTTGTCATCAGATAACACTGGAAGAAATAACTTAGACTAAGACACAAACAAGGATATCTTGCTAGTAAGATGTAAAACAAAATGACCGAAATGATTGAAATAAGAATATAACGTACATTAAAACCTCTTTGTTTTCTTCTGTCTAACAAGTTTTCCCACAGTTATAACTTCTACATAATCAACGATTTTTGTAAAAAAAGGTTAGCTGATCAAAGTAAAGCATAGAACCAATCTACTAACTATACATTCACTGAAAGTTTCTCAATGTCCACATTTAAACCTGTTTAAAGCACCACAGTGTGACCTAAGTTCCTATACTCTTTTACTTATTCTATATTAGAGTTAATAATTCATTTATCTAACCTGTAGTGGCTTTGTCTCGATAATCGTTATTATATAAATCTTAACAGTGTTTGAAATGAAAAGGCAACTATAGTTTATTAGTGGACAGCATAAATCACAAAATTATAAACACACCAAACATATTTGGTAAACAGGGGAGAATAAGTGTATGCGAGCAAATACAGAGACAAATTTATAGTTAAATCGCATAAGAGCACGGTAATGCAAAGCAAAAGCTAATAATAGGATTTGAATACATATATACATGCGAAGGAGGTGAATCATTCAGTGATATTAAATCAATCAACATTTTAACTAGAACCTGTCATGTGATCTGATGATCATAACAGTACAAAGAAATATGCCGATTGTTATTAGTCAAATAACATTATTTATTAAGTTAATAAAATGACTTATTGAAAATTAACATAATCGAAATTTAAATTCACTTGGTATTGTTTGTTTGAATCTTTCCATTAATGTTACGAACTGAAATTGATCAGTCTCTTATTGACATATGTGCATACTATGTGTATTACCTCGATATATCCTTAATTCATAAGCATTATAAGGCTTTCTAGATTCCATTGCTAGCTACTATCCATCTTTGCTTATAATGTTTATAAACAAAATTGGTTGTAGAATAGTTGCTATAACCCATAAATTATACAAATCGATTATAATTTTATAATATTAATACAATATAACAAATATTCATTGATTAAACCTACATAGATACTGAATAATTAGTTGTCAAATACAATTTTTATATTATTCTTATAATTTTTTATTTATTCTATTAGTTCATTATCATTATGACAAATGTCCATTTATAAATTGATATACAATATTACAAATGACAGAATATTCTATTATCTATTTTTTTCTTTTTCCTTCAAAAAAAGCAAAAAAAAAGAAAAAAAGAAAAAAGAAAAAAAAAGAGAAAAAAAGAAAAAAAAGATTCAACATATATACCTATCAAATCATCTTAATTTAATAAATATAATTAGTTATTTTATTCTATTATTTATTTATAATGAACTTTTTATTCAATGGCAAATTATATTATTTATCATTTATATAAATAGATATTTATATGATTGTCTAATTTAATTAACCTAAATTATGTGAATAATAATAATAATTTTCTTTTTCTGATTAAGTAACATATTAGTTGATTTAATGGAAAGATAAAAATTTGAATTTATTATTACTATAGATGAAAGAGTGAGTTAATTGTAACTAAACCACCATCAAGGAAAAACTGGAAGCACTGGACGGACGTTTCATCCTATTGTGGGGCTCTTCATCAGTGCACATAAACGATCCCACCTCGCAAGATTCGAATCCAGGACCTACTAGTCTCGCGCCAGAGCACTTAACCGATAGACCACTGAGCTGACATCCGATGGTGTTTATGTCTTACTCTAACCAATCCACGAAATTGAGCAATCGTTTACCAATTGTTTTTAGTGAGTTCGAAACTCGAGAGGCGAGGTCATGTATGCGCAGTGCTGAGGAGTCCCATAACAGGACGAAACGGCCATCCAGTGCTTCCAGGTTTTCCCTGGTGGTCTAGCTTCAATTGACTCACGCTTTCAACTATGAAAATACTGAATCTTCACAAAACCCCTTCTGACAATATAGAACACGAAAAAGAAAAAAGACAAAAAGAAAAAAATGAATGGAAACTATTTAATTATTATTAGATTTTTTATCTAATTTCCTTCAAATAGATTAATCATTTACAATTTAATAATATATACTATGATAAAATGGCCTAAATTTTAGACCATTATTTGTTGAAGGATAAACGACCAAGACATTGATTTTGTTTAGTAGTTTATGATTTTGGTTTGTGTACTAACATATTTTATTAAATAAAAAAACATTCTACCGGATAACTAACTTATTTTCTGATAACAGTTGTGTTGAATGGTCACAATAATGATTCAGTCTTTTGAGAAGCCATCAAACATCTACATAGTATCGTTGCATGCTGTCAATTGAGTGGTGCATTTCAACCATTAATTGAACAATCTTGAAATATCTTTCTGTTACAAATGATTAAAAGTTAATCTATAAGATGATATAAGTTACAAACGAATTATAACTAGACAATCATTAAGAATAAACCAGCACTGAACAAAAGGTTATGAATTTTTAAGGTATATTTCCATTGTAAACTATCTTCAAATGGAATAATCTTTACAATTCTTTCACCTCATTTTGCAAAATATGTTTTCTCATTATACTTGTACATAAAGTTACAAATAAAGTGTAAATTTTCAATGTAGTTGGAATATCTCACCAATTTTAGTCTTGAAATTTATACATCGTTTTAAATCATATCAGATAAATAGCTCGATATAATAATATCGTAAACAAGAACACGACTGGGGGACAATTGAATGTATTTGAGCACAAATTACAGACTATCTCACTAGATTCTTATAACCGTACAGTGAACAGTTAATTTGCAAAATAACAATCAATTGTCTTAATCTTGACTGTTACTTCTGCAAATATCAATCCAATATCTCTGATTTTATTGTTCATGCATTTTCCTACCAACTGCGCTTCATTTCAGTTCTTTCCTTATCGGTCTTCTGCCAAAATACATTCTATGTCTGACCATCACCATATACTACTTATGTGGACATAAGTAGCCCACACCACAACGACAACATTCAAATCATTTTGGAAATATATGGATTAACAGATTATATGAACTTTACATTTGATAATCGGAGATAAATTCACTACACAACTTTCTTTTCAACAATCAGTACTACAAATGATGAATATCTTCAACTAATCCGTTGTGAATGTATTCATGAAATTAGTTTTTATGAAGAAAAATTTTAGTATGACTTTAAACAACAGTTAAGTAAATCTATGTTTTCATAAGAAAAAAAGAATCGAATTTCAGGGATCTATATAATTTCACAATGTGATTGTATTATGTACACACTCTGAATAGTCTTGCTGATAAGTATTACATTTTACATAGTTGAGATCATGAGTCAAATGAGGCTAGACCACCGTGGAAAACCTGGAAGTACTGGACGGCCGTTTCGGTTAAGTGCTCTGGCGCGAAACTGGTAGGTCCTGGGTTTGAATCTCACGAGGCGGGATCGTGGGTGCGCACTGCTGAGGAGTCCCACAATGGAACGAAACGGCAGTCCAGTGTTTCCAAGTTTTCCTTGATGGTGGTCTAGCTTCAATTGACTCATGATCTCAACTATATAAAAATTACTAACATCCCCACAAAACCGCCTTCTGTTATATTTTATTTACTTTGTTTATAAGCTTGAATTAATCGTTGAAAATTGTGGATACGATATACGAATAAGTTTAACTAATGAATTTGTACAATTAAATGGTGGTCCATCTTCTTATGTTTATCGAATTTCTTTTATGCAAATTAAATTTGGATCAGCATCAAATCAAGGATCAGAGCATACAATAGATGGTAAAGCATTTCCAGGTGAAGTAAGTATGATTATTTCTATTATAAATAGTGAATTATTTTAGTTATAAAGCTATTTTCCTTGATAACCTATTTATTCAATCTGTTTAATTAGTTTACTTTAAGGATCGATTCCAACTATACATATATATATATTTTCTTTGATTGTATACCCTGTTTTTGCATTCAAAGACTCATGCTTTTTGACCACAGTATTTTGACTATTGAATTGAATTGTAAATGCTTTTTTTCTCATTATATTTAAGTCAAGTAGGGTTTATTTATCAAAGATTGGCATTAACGCCAAATTTAATTGAGTTTAAAGTAATCAATACTCAATGTACTATATTTCCATAGAAAAAGCCTCTCTATGTTAAGTTTGATTATGGACCTACATCTTTATATAGAAATATAATTATGTATTCATTTATGTGGAAACTATAATACACTGAAAAGCTGTAGGTAATATAAACAACCCTTTTACAAACTTTAAAACTTACATTTTAATGCATCATATACTTCATATACATGAGGCTTTATATTTCCAATTGTAAATTTAATGAATAAATTGTTGCATATGCATTTAAAAATCAATGTATTTTCTAGTAAAGTATAATTGAATACACACTATACAATATTATGCTTATCTTTCTGTAGTGAAAACGGTATTTATCCCACATAATCATACTTATATAGATGCTTAGACTATCATAGCATTACTATTGTAGTGTGTTCTACTTATATCCATTTAAGTAGTATATGGCAATGGTCAGACATAAAATGTATTTTGGCAGAAGACCGGTAAGGAAAGAACTGAAATGGAGCGCAGTTGGTAGGAAAATGCATGAACAATCAAATTTGAGAAGATGAACTGATATTTACAGAAGGAAGAGTGAAGATTGAAACAATTGATTGTTATTTTGCAAATTAACTGTTTATTGTATAGTTATCAGAATCTAGTGAGATAGCCTGTAATTGGTGTTTAAATATCCCCACTCGTGTTCTCTTTCATAACACTATTCGTATGAGGATTGTTTGTAATAATGAAATAATGTGATATATTTGTAATATCTCAATAAGTAGAAAATTGAATTACTGATATCAGTTTTCTTCGTAATAGGCTTATCCACAAAATGTAGAAATACATTGTACAAAGCGTTTTGGACCTGAGTCTTTTATTTGTCACTACTCATTGTTCAGATCTGTATATAAGTCCTGTAGTTGTAAGCAAAGATGGATAATGGCTGGCAGTGGAATACAGGATGCGCGTTTCGCCACAATTTCGGACTCGTCAGCTGCATGTACCTGCATCTCAGAATTGATGTACACTTTGGGACTCAAACCTAGTACCTTTCACTTCAAACGCCATCGCGTTATACAGTGAGCTGCTGACTCCTGATATCTACTTGCTTGTGCGATGGGGTGAAGTTTAAATTCACTTAGCATTGTTTGTTCAAATCTTCCCATTGACGTTTAGGATTGCAATTGATCAGTCTCTAATTGACATATGTGCATACTGTACGTATTGCCTCGATATAGCCTTAATTCACAAGCATTATATGCCGCTATCCATCTTTGCTTAGAGTGCTTGTGAATTAAGGCTATATCGAGGCAATACGAACAGTATGCACATATGTCAATAAGAGACTGATCAATCGCAATCCTAAACGTCAATGGGAAGATTTAAACAAAAGATGTCAAGTGAATTTATAAGTCCTGTAGGTTTTTATTTTTGGTATTACAACTTGTATCATCCAGCCCATGAACTACTGGCAATAATAACTGATGGCTAAAATACTTGTCATGAATATTTCTTAATTTTGGTTCACATTTTTCAATACCACTTCAGTTTGATTGTAAACAGAATCTGTCCTGAATCATTTTAACGAACTAGGTTAATTCAAGATTACTTCAAAGGTATTATTTAAATGACTTTAGTTTATATAGAACCGGTTAATGTTTTTCTTGGTAAAATGCAGTCGACTTTGGTTACCTTATTTTCTAATTTCAGCATACCATAAATATGCTGTTCAGAAAATCTGTGGACTATACGCAAGTAAATGTACTAGGATATTGTTAAACAATCTCTTCAATTTATTTTACAGGTTATATGATCAATTACTGATTTTGTGAACCAATTCACATAACACTAAGCAGGTAGAAACCTAAAGAGAATGAGACTTACTGTTACATTCTTGCTGCAAGCTAGAGGCATCCTAACTTTAAACTTCTAGCGTAATATATGTATAAATAGTATTTACTAGCTAAAACGTAATGACAGAATACCGAACAATATTTTTGAGGCGAACTACTAATAAAATTAATATACTCAATCAAAATTGGTACAAGAATTTCACCTGATGATCTCAGACCTAGCTGATGTTCCTCGAATATATCTTTTATCCAAAGAATGTTATATGCCTTTCACTGACTGGCGTATTATGGAACATTTCAGTCGACCGTATTGTTAGTATAATCAACTTAGTGATTTGTATACACCTACAAAGACATAAGCAGAACAATTTACTTCAGTTTTTCTATCAAAACCTCTTCATCACATACAAGGATAGAAATAGTGATCAGACAAGATTAAACCATAAAAACATTTAAGTAGTTTCAGTAAAATTATAAAAATCTACTTGTCTACATTAAATTTATTTCAGTAATTTAGAAACTGTAAAACAAACAAGCAAATAAACCTTCGTTTGTAGAAAACAAATTAATTGATATTTCAGCAAACAATCAGACATATGAAGTAATAACAACTAGGTAAATTCTAACTTTATAAAATTTTACATATTTTGTTTTGTGGACATATCTACCGTAACCGATAGGATTCAGTCAGTCACAACGTAGAACTTCGTACGTACCTACATCATTTATAGTTGCTATACCGATATAATTAATAATAATAAAATAATTGAAATATGAATTTACTTAGTTACATAAGTTGACAGTAATTAAACATTAAACTGTTAAAACTATGAACAATAAAACCAAGTTGATTCCAATTGAATTTAAGTTTGAAATTTAAAACAAATAAAATAAACTTGAATGAAAAGACGATATGTAGTGAACAAGAAGACGATTGGGGAATATTGAATGTATCAGACATGAAAATTACAGAATATTTCACTAAAATCTGACAACTATACAGTAAACAGTTAATTTGCAAACTATCAATCGATTGTCTCAATCTTGACCATTCCTTCCGCAAATATTAGTTCATAGTCTCCAATTATTATTGTTCATGCATTTTCATACCAATCGCGTCTCGTTTCCGTTCTTTCCTAATCGATCTTCTACTGAAGTACATTAAATGCCCGACCATCGTCATATACTACTTATGTGGATGTGAGCAACCCACACCACAGATATAATAAACTGACCATAAATGTTTAGAGTTCTATTATTTCAATGATTATATCATAACCTTTTTTTATTATACGCTGTATTACATTATGAAAGAATGAAAATTCTGTACAAATATAATTGAATTGTATTTCAACTATTAACACTTTCTGAAACTGAATATAAATACAAATGTAATTGTATATTGTCAGTAGTATTTCAGTTTAAATGTAATTTTTCTTTATCATATCATTTTGTCCTGAACACAGTATAAAATTGAATGAGAGTATAGTTTTAAACTAATGTACCAAACATACGTTTTCACTAATTTAAATTTTATATTAAGAACTTAAACTAAGTTAAATTATATCGAAAGTTATCCACGGATTAAACTGTTATATCTAGAGCTTAGATCCTTGATATACCGCGTACAACTTGAGCACTCAAACACTAGAATCGTCCAAGTCGTAAATAAGTAGAAAGAAGACAAGTGAGAAGGAATGCTATTCCAAACAGTGTTAAATATGGTGCAAAACTCTCAGTTATTTATAGTTTTTAGTAAAAGCGAAATCATCATTATAGTCATTCCATTTGCATAAAGTGATTTTTAGCATTTGTCTAATAGGGAAGCTACACGTCAAGATTCTGAAATATTCTTCCAAATGATGATTGGATGGAATGTCTAAGTCTCTTTCTCAGCTTCTTAAATCTTTCCCAAGTTCATCTGTGGGCCATCCTCACATAAACTTTATTTTTTGAAGAAAAGATTATGAATAGTTTCCAGTAAAACTAATTTTTTTTAAAAAAAAACAAACAATAATTCATCTACCCATAATTTCAACAACGGAAATGAATAATAAATATTTCGTAATTTTATTGTTAAAATAAAACCCTTATCTTCTACTCTCTATTTAACCATTGTGATTACCTTCAATATGACTACTATTGTATAACTATTGTTATTTAAAATAAATCATACTTTTACCAGTCTTTCACTTGACTATAGCAACAACAACAACAAAAAAAAAAGACAAACATTTCACTTTATTTTATTCTCAAATAAAATTAGATTAAAATTTTGTTTCAAAAATAAAAATAAAAACAAACGTGATGTACTTCTATGTGAAGTGAAAATTTAGAAAAAAAAAATATTTAACGAATAATTTTCCGTTAATTTTTTTTATTATTTAAATTTATATCAATTTTTCAGTTGATATGCAGGAAAAATAAAAAATAAAACAATCGACAAACCAGAAAATACTAATCACGTTCTTAGTATTAAAACATTGGATGGTACAAAGTAGGTATATTAGGTATATGGCTATATGTAGATGTGTAATGGAATGAATCAATTAGAAGAGTAAAATTAAAACAAAATTCAATTTAATTAATAGTTACATAGAAAACTTATTTAGTGAATACACAAAATCACGCGACCATCTTCCGTTGTCTTTGATGTTTAACTGTTTAACATCTGATACAGATTGACTCCACTTGTCACTGCTTTGTCAGTTGAACTCCAAGAATTACCTTTCGAAGTTAGTTTATAGTAAGCATATGATAATTATCAGTAAAGGGTTATAAAGATTGTTGAGTTTTTGACTGAAATCATAAATCGATCAATGTTAGACCACCATTGAAAACCGAGAAGCACCAGACAACCGTCTTGTCCTAGTATGAGACTCCTCGGTAGTTGTCTAACATTGATAGATTCATGATTTCAATCAAAAACTCGAAGATCTTCATAACTCAATAGTGAGTAATTTATAATGTTTTTATTTGAAGATACACTGAATGATATATGAAACAGTGACTCAGTAGTTAAACACCTAACATTTATCTAGTGGATTGTAAGTTTGAATCTTACCTCAAATGTTTTCATTTTGACTTATCGAATTGCTACAATAGTCTTCACAAATAAAACCCCAAACACGCTGATTATTAGATATTGTCCATCACATTAAATTAACTTAGTTTATGTTAATAATTATGTACGTATGGTAAAAATATGAATTTTTAGTGTATTTGTGATATATCAATAATGGTATACCAACTATCTTACAACCAATCTCGATTATAGTTAGTTTTGGTTAAACCATTTTATTAACTCAACAGATAATGTTATTCGAATAGTAACGATTTTCACATTTCGTTGTACTGTTATGACCACTAGATTATATGAAAGACTCTAGTTAAAATGTTGATTTCTTAAATATCACTCGATGACTGATCTTCTTCCCCCATGTACATATGTACTCAAATCCTATTATTAGCCTTGGCTTTGCATTGATGTGTCCTTATGCGATTCGACTATAAATTTGTCTCTGTATTTGTTTGCATATACTTATTCTCCTGTATTCACCAAATTTGTTTGGTGTGTATATAATTTTCTGATCTGTGCTGTCCACTAATAGATTGTAGTTGCTGCTTCTCTTTGCCTTCTCGTTTCAAACACTGTTAAGATTTATATAATAACGATTATCGAGGTGATCGATTAACAAAGTAAAGCAACTAATGTCCATCTTGTAAATAAAATGTACCCAGATTTTTTCAAAAATATATCTGACAATCTAATCACTTCAAATGATTTGCAATAATAACAGATAACAATCTGAAGATATCAAATTTGATTTTCACAAAGAAAGTGTCTATTTGTATTGATCATCTAATATTTTATTCTTTCTATTGTCAATTGTATCCTAGTTACAAATTTATTCATTCAATAATGAATTATACAATAATTTATCTGATGCATTTTATCGTCCAAATGGTATCCTTGCTATCAGTGTTTTCTTTAAAGTAAGTTTATAAATGAATACATTGGTTATAGTTTAAAATTATATGATAAATAAACACGTCTATATACATTTCAAATCTTAATCTAATGTCATTATATTATTAGATAAATGTTTATATGAATATTAGATCATGTGAATAAGAGGTAACTGGGTCAGTGGAACATTTGATAAGTAAGAAATTTCACTTATCACTTCTATTTACTCAATTAGATTGACATGGGAAAATTATCAAGAAATGTCAAAAATGAGGGTATAATGATCTCTTGGTTAGTTTTAATTTAATTCATTCTAGTAGCTTTGTAGTGAATAAGAACACGACTGGGGACAATCGAATGTATTTAAGCACAAATTATAGACTATCTCTTTAAATTCTGACAAACATACAGCAAACAGTTAATCTGCAAAATAACAATCAATTGTTTCAATCTTCACTCTTCCTTCTGTAAATATCAATCCTTCTTCTCTAATTTAATCGGTCATGTATTTTCCTACCGATCGCGCTACATTTCAGTTCTTTCCTTACCGGCCTTCTGCCAATATACATTTTATGTCTGACCATTGCCACATACTACTTATATAGATATAAGTAGACCACACAACAGCTGTTTGAATTAAATAATAATAATAATAATAGAGGAACAAATATACTTCAATTGACATATAATTCCCATTTAAACACTAAAAATTAAAAACACGAAGTTCAGCGAAGGGATCTCTTTTCAACGAATTCATTATCAAGGTGTACAATCGTGTAAATATATGAAAATGTTTTGTTAAAGTACTGATTCCGTGAAGAAATGTGAACACAAATAACCAAGATTATAATACTTCACATTTTTCTGTTGACAATATTCATTACGTACATCCAATAGTTACCATCTGTAACGTAACTTTAATTTCTAATCACTTATAAAAGAATTTATTTATTCCGGCTATAGAAAACAATCTTGACGACAAATAATTTATTTCTAAGTATCCTCTAACAATAATAATACATAATCATGACCTATAACGTCCATTCTGATATACTCAATTTCCATTCCGTAATTTTTGAGTGAGATGCAGCTCAATAAAATTTTCAGGGTTAAAGTATACCCAATGAACTACTGTCTTCACTCCCTTTACAAACGATTATAACTTTCTGTTTCAAACTAGTCAACTTCAAGCGGTTAAAAAGATGATATTTTTATCTGAGTATATTAACTTGATAAAAATGCCTAGCTCATCACTTTTGATAATTTTAGAAACTATTTTCTAAATCAATTTTACTGAAGGCTTAAACATTAGTAGCCTTTAATGAACAATATCTTTTCCATTTTACAGCTTGGAAATGCAACAAATAAAGACCTTTTAGGAGTTGTAGCTGCAGCCGAACAAACAATATTTAAAGGTAATTATTTATCTCTTTTAATCTATCGTCATGGATTATTCATCAATGGAATAATTTGTTTTATTTGAATAACCATTCCTCAGATAATAGGATTTCATCATTTTGAATCTCGTTAACCATTTGATATATTTTCATAGACTCATTACTGAGATTATAATATATCACAGGAAGTCTTACAAAATATGTCAGTACTTCTCAGTACTTCTCACATTAATGTATTAAACAGTTTGACCAATCAAGCTTATGGTCATTATGAAAAGAATAAATTACTTCGAAATAAAATACTTTCTGCTGTCACCTAGTCCAATCACTTCATTAGTGTAATGCAATCACAGAGGTGCGAACACTCTAAAACTATTTATTTGCTAATAGTAATGGTTTGTAAATTTCTGTTGTTAACATTCAATATTGCAAATGATCATTGTCTGTTGCCATATGTAAATATTCTGAACGGATCCCCTCGATACCGTTTCACATTCTAGTAAAGAGCAATTGTAAATAGCAATGAATTCCAGGAAGCACATTTCATCCAATCTTACACTCATCCTTTTAACATTCCTGTGTCATTGTCTTAATGTTCTCAGTTAGTTTGTATTTTTAGTTTGATACGCATGTTTTTATAAGTTGCGAAAACTCACCCATTATTTAATCACTTAGCCGTTTCCAATCTGATGAACTTAATAATGAATTCAAAGTATTTAGGTACAGTAAGATATATGTCTTGAATAATTTAATCAAAGATAAACATCAAAAGACATATTCTTCCATTTAAAGTATAAATTCTGGCGATTTGCGAATTGAATTCTATTTGAAATTCAATTATAACTCTTAATGCCGAATTTCAAACCTGTTTAGTTCATTTTTTTTTACTTTTTGTTATCGAGGCAGATTTAGCGCAAATTTTAAAAATCGAAATATTGGATAAAGTAATTTTTGAGTAATTTTGGCATGCATTTCTTTTTCTACTATGTAAACCTAATAACTATTATATCTATTTTGGTAATAAAATTATCCACTTCGATTACTGAACCAAGTAATGTCTTAACTTACTTAAACAGAAATTCTTTATACACCTTTTGAAGATTCGACAGACTTTTGAAAAAAATCATTTTCATACTGAAACATAAACTACTCATAAGTCGGGATTTCTGTTGGCGATGCCAGATCCACAAAAATCTCTTGATAAACGTCTTAATTTTATAATTTTATTTTTAAAGTCTAAATTTCTCATTTCCATGCCAAAAGCGCCCACTTTCACCTTCAGATTTTATTTCTCACTTAGAAGGACCTCAAATGTTATTGCTTCGTTGGCTATTTTAATACGTTATTTTGTGATGCTTTCCAAGGATCTTTTCATATTATACATAAACATAAGCTTGAGTTGTTTGTTTGATTCGTTTGTGCTTCTGACTGCTTATGAAATATGCTTTCTGCCTCAGCTGTATCTGATCTTCTCCTTCTAGTCAACAGGGCCCCAGGACAGAGTGGGTTGGAGAAAGCTGGTCGGCGGCCTATGCTCCATTGGGAGTAACAGGCGAAACACCTAACACAGTTAACAGGGCTGAGGTGAATTAGAATAGTTTAGCTTATCCTGTTGTTGTGTGGCAAACCTTCATTCCGTTCGCCGTTTTTATGTGATATCTTGATCTCTTCTAACACTGCAATTTCTTTATCGTATATTTCATGGGAAACATCAATCGAGAATTTTTTATCCGTTAATATTCTTTCATGAAACTCACACCCTTATCAATATAGAATACAATAAATTTAATAAACCAGGTCAAAAATGTAAATAAAATTATCATAAATATTCTAAACTATAATCTTCATTAGTCAAATAATCACTTTTTAGTTTACCTTATATTTAGTTAAGCTCTATACAGCTAATATTTTACCCACAGTAAACTAATAAATCACTATAAAGTATCTTTCTTGATTGAAATATACTTCTGAAGTTTCCTTTGATAGTTGGCATTCGTTTTGCTTAATGTTTTTTTTCTATGATGTTAATAGCCTTTATAATGCATGAGTAGCTACGGTTAACCTTCTTTCTTTTGTACACAGGTGATTGATTTAATAAGAAGTTCATTATGACAATAAATTTACAAATTTTGAATCAAAAAGAATAATACCTTGATGATAATTGGCATGTGTAGTAACAGACTATGCAGATTTTATTCTTTGATGATCCTAATTTAATAAACATTCATTTATTATGTTTAAAATTAATGAACCTTCAAGGTTGGATGTGTTCTATTACGAGTTGAAAAGAAATTAACTATAATTATTCATTGAAAACTCATTAGGATTTTATTTGCCCTATGCACTCTAACCACTATCTTTCAGAGGAATCGCTTAATTACGAGAAACTTAACTGATATAAGCAATTTTTAAACTATATTATGACTAAAGAGGTTGGCTGTAGAGTTTTGAATAACTGGATGATGATATTTATCTTAAACATTACTGATCATAGTGCTTTCTTCTCTTCAAAATTTAAAGTTTACTAGTTATCAAATAAATGTTACATATCTGGTTTAGCAAAATGCAACATTACAAAATGAATGCTTATAAACCGAATACTTACTTTAATTTTGAACCCGTTGTTTTCAGTTTATAGAGTGTTTGGAATTCAGCAGAACTGCATATCACTATACGGCTAGATTTTAAACAGTGAATTCTAAATGAAGCTAAGTGGGTGTTCTCATCAATGACTGGTGGATTCATTTACATGAAAAACTATTATAGAGAGCCAGCTTATGTTGTAGCTTAGAATTTCATCATTAAATGAAGTAAGTGATATCGTTGTTAAGAGTGAAGTCTACGATGTAGAAAACTAGTGTGAGCTAAAGACTAGTGAGGACGTCTAAGACCACTGACTTTCAAACTTTAGAATAGTGATTGGTGTAATTAATTTTATTTTAGTTCTCATTATGGTGTTTTCATTAACCGATCAAGTCCTCTGTTTATTTCTTAATGCAAATAATTGTTAGATATACTATTATTCTTATTGTTTAGCACTACTTTTTAAACTATGTTTGCAGGAGAAACATTCCAGCTAAAAGGTCTTGAACTGCGCTCATTACTAACGTCAACACATGAGTTTATGACATATGAAGGATCATTGCCATTTCCTCCATGCCATGAAACAGTTACCTGGATCATACTGAATCATCCTATAATGATTACTGAAACTGAAGTGAGTTTACGAACAAAATCCTAATTTTTTAAATTAAATTAACATATTTTCTCTAGTGATTAGTACAAATGTTTTGAATCAGTAAAAACACCAGTCCCAGACTTGAATGAAAACATTATATAGGAGGATTTCTCTTCGGCTACAAACAATCCAAAATATACAACTTCTTCACATTATTTCAACTTTTGCCACAAGTTAAACATTTTGGCTGGTTGAGACAGAACAAAATATTTATTATCTGGTAATCATCGACGAATTTCCATGATAAAGATGAAAGACTTTTTGATCCATACATCAAAATCCAGAATTTCTTTTTAAAAAAATTTTTTAACCTCATTTAAAAGGTTTTTTAATCACTCAAATGATAGTTACTAGCAGTATGCAATATAGTCTTTATGGCTAACTGAATTTTATCAGACAACCATGCTATGAATATACTAGTCAAGGGTAATTGGCATCACGATACACTTAGTTGATCTAGGGGTTAATGCATATCGTCATTAGGACGATTAGTGTACTTAATCCGGTTTTATAACTTGCAATTTGGACAACAAATTGTGAATGTTTCTCTGTCAGTAAAAGGCTCTAACTTATATTTGCAATGACTTATTAACTTCTTTAATATCGCATGTACTCATTGCTGGTGAATGCAAGAAAGCAATCAAAGCTAAAACACAGAATTTCAACCCATTGCTTTCAAATATTTACCGAAATTAAAAATGTATATATTTATACTTTCGTAACTTCAAATAGTGACAGTTGATAAGCATCATTATTTTAATTTACCAGCTCAAAAGAATCCACCATATGCAATATCATTAAAAATTATCGATTCAGTCTCATACCTAAAAAGTTAAAATTTATTTTTAAAAGACAAAACACAAATAATCCTCTATATCCGATATAGGATTCATTCGAAATTTGACTCAATTACTCTATATTATAATGATTAGGTTGTTAGTCAAATTATTAATTATAACATTTTATATAGTTGAGATCATGAGTCAATTGAAGCTAGACCATCATGGAAAACCTGGAAACACTGGACGGCCGTTTCGTTTTATTGTGGGACTCCTCAGTAGTGCGGATCCACGATCCCACCTCACGAGATTCGAATCCTGGACCTATCAGTCTTGCGCGCGAGATGTTGATTGATTGAAGTTAGACATTAACACCGTTGGATGCTGGCTCAGTGGTCTAGTGATTAAGCGCTCACGCACGAGACCGATAGGTCCTGGGTTCGAATCTCGCGAGGTGGGATCGTGAATGTGCACTGTTGAGGAGTCCCGTAATAGGATGAAATAGTTGTTCAGTGCTTCTTAGTTTTCCATGGTGGTCTAGCTTCAATTGATTCACGATCCCAGGTATTAAAAATTACTAAAATTCTCCACAAAACGCCCTTCTGATAATTATAAATGAAAAATGCATGCTCAAGGATCAAACTTTTAAGGTTTAAAAAAAAGGAACATCCGTGACTTTGTTTAAACAAAAATATATAAATAAAATGACATAAAACTTCTTTCAACTTTAAGTATATTATCTTTATGGAGAAAACGAATTATAATTCTCCATTTTTTTTCTAATGTATACACAATCAAATGAAATTCTTCCGACAAAACTTTACCTTTATGGTTTCATTAAAAAAAGAGTTTTAATGTTTGACAATTCATTCAGCCTACTATAATGATCAATTATATTCTTGTTAATTTCATACAAATTGATATACACCATAAGGGAAAAAAAGAAGAAGAAGGAGAAAACTGAATGGCCTTTTTCTCCTTTTTTTCTTCAACCTAATAATTATATAAGCAAAGTACAGTTTCTACCGAATTATTAAAATAATAAATAATTATCAAAATGGTATGTAATAAGTAAAACCTGTCAAATATTAACACAAACTTTAATAAAGACACGGAAAAGATAAAGAAGCTGAAGAAGAAGAAGAAAGCAGGAATTAAGATACAAAGTATCATGAGATTATTTTCCACATAAGAATTTATATTTTAGGTCTTACAGCTCACAGTTCCTCCAAACCCCCTAACGCCCACCCTTCTCAATTAAAACGAAAAGAACATATATGCTGGAATAACTGTTATAAATATACAGGCAATTGAAAATTTATTTTAACAGGATCAATAATGAAAATGATAGAAATAAAAGAAAGTAAATGTAATAATTAAAGATCACTGAGAATCAAAATACAGGTTATTAGAAAAGTTATCAAACTTTCTATTTTATATAACTTAAATTAATAAATCACTATAAGCAAAGATGGACAGTGGCTAGCAGTGGAATCCATGACGCGCTTTTCGTCCTAAATAAGACTCGTAAGCTGGATAAACCTGCATCTCGGAGTTGATGTTCGCTCTGGAACTCGAAACCAGTACCGTTTGCTTCAGACGCCATCATGTTATTCACTTAGCTACTGAGTCCTGATAGCCACTTGCTTGCGCGATGGGGTGAAGTTTAAATTCACTTGGTATTGTTTGTTTGAATCTTTTTATTGATGTTTAGGACTGCAATTGATCAGTCTCTTATTGTCATATGTGCATACTGTGCTGGTAAATATGATTTTCAAATTATTTTCAAAATGAGCTGTTAAAATTTAGAATAATTGATAATGATTGAAAAAATAAATTAGCAGAATTCTCATGAATGCATTATTAGTTCTAGTTGTGTTCTAAAATCTCGAAATAAGCATTAGATTAGCAGAAGGGGTTTTTATGGAGATTTTTAGTAATTTTATAGTTAAATTCATGAGCCAATTGAAGCTAGACCACCATGGAAAACGCGGAAGCACTGGACGGCCGTTTCGTCCTATTGTGAGACCCTTCAGCAGTGCGCATCCATTAGATTAGAACTTACTAATATTCATATTAAAATATTTTAAAAAAGGTTTAAAATTCATTTATTTCATTGTACATACAATTAATACATTGTTATATAGATATCACAAGTTATTGAAAAGTTAATTTGTCGTAGAACTAAAGGAAGAATTTACAAACTAAAAACTTCTAGGTTCAAGTGATTGTCATAATAGAAGCAACTGAATTTGTTATTTTTTTTAAAAGTTCATTGTTGATAACTGTTCTTACATAATCGTAGTCAATAATCTGTTTTCACCAAATCTCAGATTAGATTTACCTAATCTTTGGCTAGCATAATCGTCTATGCTACCTACTTTTCCAATAGTCTTAATGAAGCTTCAGTTTTCATCATCCTTGAGATGTTTCGCCATGATACATAAAGTTGGTATCAGGTACTTACTAACTTGAATAAAAAGCTGTTAATTGTTTATCAAGGTAAAGAGAGAGGTAATTAGGTGAAATTATCTGAAATGTATACAAGTTTAGAAAATGAATTTTTCGGCGGATGACTTATAGGAAAACTTGGTTGTCTTTAATCTCGTTTATTATATTTTAAGATGTTGCTTTAAATTAACTACGATGATCTGGCCCTTAAAAATCTATGCTGATAATCTGAAACTTTTATGTAGACTTAAAAGTCTTACGTCAAGACGATCAAAAAACAAGTAACAGTTGCGTTTGACTCTTTCTTGTTTCGTAATGATGTATGCTAAATTCTTTTTATCCTAAACATTTCAAAGCTTTCGCTAACTATCCTTAATACATCTATACACATATTATCTCATTTTTAAGTTATTCATAAGCAACGTGTGACGATTTTAAACTCCAGCTTAATTTCATTTTGTTACTATTTGAATCTTGTCAACTTCACGACTAAATTTAATTTCGATTTCTATTTGGATTTTATTATAGAAGTAAGGATGAGCAAAATTCACTTCTTTAAAGTTCAAATCATTGTATAATAAGTGCTTTATCAAGAGTGTATAGAAAAAACCTATCAAAATCGTAGTATTTCATTAGTAAAAGGAAATCAGACATAAAAAGCATTCAAAAGCTAACATTGTTTTTCCAGATGACTTGCACTATTCCACCAAAATCATCTTTTGGAAAGGAAGTTAAGCGAATAAATATTTCTTTTTATGATTAGTTTTACACTGATAACTTTTTCTCATAATAGGAAACAGAGTAAAAAAACCAATAAGATGGTGGTAAGCTATTATTCAGTATTTATAAATTTGGGATGAAAACAATAATTACCAGACAGATGTTAGGTAATTGAAGGTAGTCGACAGGAAACCCTTAACACAAGCGTCAAGAATCATCAGCAAACTATATATGCAATCTTAACGGCACCACTGTTTGCTGAATGGTCATAACCATCATCATTTGGACACACAATCTGAGACCCAATCAACAGAATTCGATTAGCAATAAACGGCCTAATAAATATAATGTTGGTCATTGGGCGCTAAAACACTGCGCAAACATCACAATGGTTACCGCCCAATGATTACTCAAATGTAAATATCACATAAGCAAAATATTTAATTTCGTTAAACGTGCAAATATTTTTTATCGTCCATATGTAGTGTACAAAACACTAATCGGGGACAATCGTATGTATTTAAGCACAAATTACAGACTATCTCACTAAATTTTAATAACCAGGCAGCAAACAGTTAATTTGCAAAATAACAACCAATTGTTTCAATCTTCACTGTTCCTTCTGTAAATATTAGTTCATCTTCTCTAATTCCATTGTTCATGCATTTTCCTACCAATTGCACTTCATTTCAGTTCTTTCCTTACCGGCCTTCTGCCAAAATACATTTTTTTGTCTGACCATAGCTATATACTACTTATACCGATATAAGTAGACAACACCACACATAATTCATATATTTTCACTTTAGTTCGTTTCCGAATGGGTGGATTTTTAGTAAACCTAGAATTCCCGTCGTATATATGAAAAAGTTGACTATGCCAAGTTATTTTATTTAACACTGATGATGTCGTTACAAAAAGTCTAACATGTGTCATGTATTTTTATGTATACTTCTGTTCTAGTCTTTTTACCCTTTAAAGATATTGAGAACCATTTGATAAACATTAAAATTAAACAAAATCATGTTT